TACTTCCCTCGGTGTATGAAACCCTGTCTTGTCCTTCAGCGTTACTCCTCTTGTGCGCTCTAGGTTCCTGCTCATACAGTCAAGTCCATAAATATTGGGACATCGACACAATGCTAACATTTTTGGCTCTATACACCACCACAATGGATATCAAATGAAATGAACATGATGTGCTTTAACTGCAGACTGTCAGCTTTTATTTGAGGGTATTTACATCCAAATCAGGTGAGCGGCGTACGAATTACAACAGTTTGCATATGTGCCTTCCACTTATTAAGGGACCAATAGAAATGGGACAGAATCAAACTTCAACATTTCAATACTTGGTTGCAAATCCTTTGCAGTCAATTACAGCCTGAAGTCTGGAACACGTAGACATCACCAGACGTTGGGTTTCATCCCTGGTGATGCTCTGCCAGGCCTCTACTGCAACAGTCTTCAGTTCCTGCTTGTTCCTGGGGCATTTTCCCTTCAGTTTTGTCTTCAGCAAGTGAAATGCATGCTCAATCATATTCAGGTCAGGTGACTGACTTGGTCATTGCAACACAGTCCACTTCTTTCCCTTCAAAAACTCTTTGGTTGCTTTTGCAGTATGCTTTAGGTCATTGTCCATCTGCACTGTGAAGCGCCGTCCAATGAGTTCTGAGGCATTTGGCTGAATATGAGCAGATAATATTACCCGAAACACTTCAGAATTCATCGTGCTGCTTTTGTCAGCAGTCACATCATCATTAAATACAAGAGAACCAGTTCCACTGGCAGCCATACATGCCCACCCCATGACACTTCCAGCACCATGCTTCACTGATGAGGTGGTATGCTTAGGATCATGAGCAGTTCCTTTCCGTCTCCATACTCTTCTCTTCCCATCACTCTGGTACAAGATGATCTTGGTCTCATCTGTCCATAGGATGTTGTTCCAGAACTGTGAAGGCTTTTTTAGATGTTTGGCAAACTCTAATCTGGCCTCCTGTTTTTGGGGCTCACCAATGATTTACATCTTGTGGTGAACCCTCTGTGTTCACACTGGTGGAGTCTTCTCTTGATCGTTGACTTTAGCAGATACACCTACCTCCCAGAGAGTGTTCTTGATCTGGCCAACTGTTGTGAAGGGTGTTTTCTTCACCAGGGAAATGATTCTTCAGTCATCCACCACAGTTGTTTTCCGTGGTCTTCCGGGTCTTTTGGTGTTGCTGAGCTGACCTTTTATTGTGGGCAGTATAAGGTACACCTGTGCACTACTCGATGTCAGATCAGCATCTTGATCTGGCACACCTGTGAGGTGGGATGGATTAGCTCAGCAAAGCAGAGGTGCTCACTATCACACATTTAGACTGATTTGTGAACAATGTTTGAGAGAAATGGTAATAGTGTGTATCTGGAGTGAATTTTAGATTTTTAAGTCCATCTCATGAAAAATCGGAGCAGAAACAAAGGTGTTGCATTCATATTTTTGTTGAGTGCAATTACAGTGCCTGAGTATTTTATGCCATGTCTGGATTTCATAACATCCATAACTTTCATCGTTATTACTCTCATCAACAGTGTTCAGATAATAGAGTCTCCTGTATTCTTTGATTTCAAACCTGGTACCATCCTTGTGAATCAGCTGGCTGTTTTCCTCCTTGAAGTGGACCTCAGTGCCGTTGGTAGTCGCAGCCTTGACAGAGAAGATGTCCTGTGGAAATGTTGGGATGTAGAGCGCCCTCTGCAGCGTTGATGATACAAGGCGGCCCTCGCTGTCCCGTAGGTTGACCTCTCCTGAGTGAGATGTCACTTGTTCTCTTTCCATCAGCGAGCTCCATGAAGTGCTTCTCAGGCCGGAAGGTGTCATCCAAACTTCTGAACTTCTTTAAGTCAGTGATGATGTGGGATGTGGCCCCTGTATCTACCATCAGACCCCTCTCCTTAAAACCACGTTCAAGGCAGTCGCTTATCTTAAAAACAAATGAATGTCTTTCTTCATCAGCTACATGTTTCACATCATCTCTTCGTTTCCTTCTGCAGTTCGACGCTTTGTGAGTGCCACTCTGGTAGTAAGTGCACCACAATTTCTGCTGTTTTTTCTGCCTTCTGCATTCACATGCTTTGTGTCCCTTCCGACCACAGGTATAACATCTTAGTCTCTCGAAGTATTTACTTTCTGGTGGCCTCAAAGATAGATCACCCATTTTCATTACAGTGTCTTCAGCGGGGCTGGTATTGAACCTCTCAGTGCTCTCGTAGCTTCTCAGTTTAGTCTTGAATTTGCTAAAAGTTATCTCGTCATCACTGTGCGTTATATGGATTGTAAACGGCTTAAATGTCTCTGGCAACCCCTTCAGAACCATTGTGATTAACAACCCATCGCTTAATGTTTCCCCTGCATTTTTCAGTGCAGTTATAGCAGTTTCTGCATGGATGATATAGTCTGTAACACTCTCGTGGTTAGCTTTCTGTAGTAGCGTTAGCTCTGTGTACAAGCTTATTACACGAGGTTTCCCTTTACCGGCGTAATGGTTCCTCAGGATTTGAAGCACTTTTCTCTCGTCATCTGGGGCATCTCTCATTACAAGGGAAAGACTTGTCGTCCAAAAATTGAATCAATTTGGCGTAAGCTTCCTCATTTCTCGAAGCGCCGTCGTCATCTTCCTCAGCGTCTGGTTCCGGTTCATGGAGTATCATTTCCTTGAGTCCCCGTAGCCGTAGGTGGCCCAAAACTTAGTTTCCCATAACTCGTAATAGTACTTTTTGTCTCTGTCGAAATATAATCTTTGCCAGCAGTTTCCATATTCTATCCTGGGCCCATAACCTGTTAAGTTTTGCATTTTACAGACAGGATAATCGACGGCCCGGCTGTTCATGACGGAGGAACAAATAACAAACACTGCAGTCTGGTTCAGCTCAGTAGAGGCACACGTGACACGAGCATCACACACAGTGCTTCCTTTTATTGACACATGATTGGGTACCATGACACATACACAGGTGTAAGAGCACACAATATTTGTGACAAATGGTTTACAGCATTAACTTTAGGGTCACGTGACCACCACGAACTGATAATCTTAAAACTCACAACTGTTCAACTAAAACAAAGTCGTCAACTCTCTAAACATCCAGACTCTGAAACTGAACATTAAAATGACACATAAATGATGAAAACTTGAATAAAATATGTGGAAACATGTAAACGCTGAGCACTAAATGGCGCCAGCTACACGGCTTTAATCAAGCAACTTGCGATCTCTATTTTAGTTCTGATATCTTTGTAGTCTTCATAGGCATGAATGAATAATTCTTCCTCCATCTGGGAGAAGAACAAGGCTCTGTTCTTTCTTTTCATTCTCGTTTATCTAGCATCGATTAACAGGGGCTGCCTGCAGATGCGCGTGAGCCTCGCTTGCTGCTCCTTGCTTGATTTATAAAGTATTGAATCCACCTGAGAATCGTTTGTGGAGCTGGCAAAACCTGGAGGGAAGGGGAGTGCTTTGTCAAGCAGGGATTTATCAGGAGATCCCAGATGATATAAACTCGCTTTTTGTAACACCCCCCTGTAATGATTTAAATTACATGTTATTTAATAAGCCATAAGGCGTAGGATTCCATAGGAAATATGAAATCCACCTTATGGATCTGTGAGGTTATTTTAAACCAGAAGATTGGAACTTTTTAATGCAGGGATTAGATAACGGCTTCGTATTCACTCAGAGACAACAGGAGAGAGAGAGTCAAGATTAAAAGTTAAGAATTGTATTACTAAAAAATTAAACTAGACTGACTTTAAACACTAAATGTATGGTGTAACTAAGGTGGATGAGACAACGAATGGGATGAGGTGTAATGCTGCTCATAACCAGAAAATCCAAAGAAGCTATTAGTTCTGATGGGAACTGAAGGTGATGTCTTCGCGTTAAGCTTTTATTAGGAGATTCATAAACACATTCAACGCCATTTGCCGGTCTACATACCCTGAGCGGAAGTCTCCGTCTAGATCAGGAGGTGTAAAGGTCCAGCTTGACCTTATGGAGCCGAAGCCTGTAGAAGCAGCCACGGCAGCCGACCACCCGTCTTGAGATACTCTCGGGTCACGACAATTTTGTTGGCGTCTAGTGAGACCCAAACCTGGGTCGTGATGGTTCAGCTTTTATTCTGAAAGGAACCGTTGCAGCAGTTGGAACAGCAACAGATTTTATCCAGCTTGTCGTTGGTTCTTTTGGTTGAAGAGGAAAGTTACGGATTGGCCACTCCAACACTTCTCTAGAACGCTTTGAACTGGCGTTAGAGATGACGTGGGCATAGTTTTATACTTCGGATGTTTTGGTTTATGGTCGAATGAAAAGTTGACAGATTTACCAAACATCACCAAAACCACGCCTCCGTCAGATCTGGCAGATTCTGATTGGATCAGTAAAAGCAATGTGTCGTCTCTTAACGCTACGTGAGACCAGTCCTAGTGGAAACATTTAAAGTCATATTACTTATTATATTCTATAGGATTCTAATAAAGTCATTAATATTTTGATTTCACAGATCGGTCACATCTTATTTATTGACTAACAATTGGTTGGATTAGCTTCATTAAAACAGAGTTCTTTGATTAATTAAAAGAGAAGAGTCCATTCCTCATTGTTCTGCGGAGCTGAAAATAATCAGGTTAGAAGCGAATGCATGAAACCTTGAGACCATATCTCATGCAGACTAGTCTTGTGTCAGAGGAGAGGGGGAAACAGTCATTTCATTCTGTTACACCCCTATATTTTTCTTTCTGATTTAGTTTGCCTCGAGTGAGCAGGGTTGTTTGACAGCATTCCATGTTAAGTCATTCCTTGTTTTGTTTTTAAGGTGGTCTGCAAGCAACGTGAAGTGCTTTCCTTCATTCCTTGTTCTTTTCACAGAAATTCTTTGAATAGAATTTTTTACTCAGCCACACCATGGTCATTGTTTTCACCTGGCCACCACCTTCAGCCCCACCCGGCCACACCTTAAACATGATGCTGCTGTCAAAAACAGAGGGTTTAAATAAAGTTTTACAGCAGCCTCACAGCAGGTGGAACAGGTTTGTCCTGTCTGCAGACACACCGGGTTCCTCAGATAGCTGATGGGTGTCTTCAGTCTTACCTGTTAGAAAACAAACACACACTGAGGTTGTCTACCCTCACACCGCAAAGATGAACATGGTTGCTCAAATCATCGGGGACAAAGTGGGTGAGTACAGAGACCTGTCATCTGGTGGAATACAGATCACCATGCAGAATCTTTCAGGTTGTTTCAGCTGCTGAGGATAAAAGCTGGTGTCCTGTTCTGTCTGCAAAGCTCGGTGGTTTAGTGAACGTCTACCTGAGCAGGCGTAGAGCACCTGGGTCACATGTTTCTGTTAGGTTGAATTTAGAATGGAATTAAGAGTCTCAGATCAAATTGCAACCAATAAATGAAGCCTTTTGATTTATTCAAATAAAAATCTCACAACTCTGGTTGTTTTGCAGAGATGTGGACTCGAGTCACGTGACTTGGACTTGAGCCCGACTCGAGTCATTATTTTAATGACTTCTGACTTGACTTAATAAAATCTATAAAGACTTACAACTTGACTCAGACGAATGCCAATGACTTGCGACTTGAAACGACTTGCATCTGTTGACTTGATGATGACTTGAGCATATTTGATATTTTAGCACAAAAGTGGCACGACATGGACAAGAAGCATAAATCATTCTTGGTTCTGGGTTTGATCTTGCTCTGCTAAAACAGCAGCACTTTGTTTATAATCAGTTTCAGTTGCACTTTCTGCTTGTTTGAGCAAATAAATGAAGCTTTACGAAACTTTATTTCTGGACATTATTTATTATTGTCATTAAATTGAAGTTGGGCAGATGATTTGATTACAACTTGAAAATTCAAAGTTAAGGACTTGGACTTCCACATCATTGACTTTGGACTGGATTTGGACTTGATTGTCTTTGACTTGAACTTAACTCAAGACTTGATTGGAAAGACTTGTGAATGATTTGTGACTTGTAAAGCAGTGACTTGGTCACACCTCTGTTGTTTTGTTTCTGAAAATTGGCCCCACCCCAGGTTAAAAGTGCAAAAGAGCTGCATCCATAAAACAAAACTGATTTGAGCAAATTGGAGATAAATTCTGATTTTCGAGAAGCTCAGTGGATTGTAAAACTTCTGTTAGCGCCCGAGCTGTTTATTAAATCTATGTAGAAATGAATATTAAAGCTCTTCATCTCCATTTAAAAGTTGGAACAATAAATATTTGAAATTCAGTTAAAATTATTTTAATTCTTTTAGAATAAATGTTTTCATCAGTAGTTTCAGAGTTTAACTCTTTAAAGACCAAATTCATTGACAAACCCGTTGGTTTACTTGTGATATTTTTGAAATACAACAGGTCACGCTGAGTTCTTCATGCAGGATGAAAACAGACTCCTACACCCATCTCCTCCACCTATCTCTGAACATGAGACAGTTCTCCACACCTTCATCTCCTCACGCTTAGACTACTATAACTCTCTTTTCACGTGTCTGAGCAGAACCTCCCTGAACCGTCTACAGGTGGTTCAGAATGCTTCTGACCAAGTCCTCCAAACACACCCACATCACCCCGCTTCTCCTCCAGCTTCACTGGCTGCCAGTCAACTTCAGGGTTCATTTCAAGATCCTGGTTCTGGTCTATAGGGCCTTACATGGACAAGCACCATCTTACATTGGTGATCTTCTTAGTCCCTACACCCCCAGCAGGTCCCTGAGGTCCAGTGATCAAAGCCTACTGGTTGTGCAGCACCAGGCTAAAGACCAAAGGTGACAGATCATTTGCTGCTGTGGCCCCCAGACTCTGGAACTCTCTCCCCCTGAGCCTGAGATCAGTGGACTCCTTTAAAAAGCAGCTGAAGACTCACTTGTTCAAGCTTTGGTGTGACCTTCTTGACCACTCTCTTTATTCTGCTCTCCCCACCTATTCCACCTTCCTCGGGATCCACTGATTTCCCTCTTTCCTAGTCACTCTCTCTCAAGATTTTTTTATCACAATTGTCTATTTTTTGCTCATTTTAAATATATTTTGAATCATTTCTAAATTCTTTTTTATATTTTTACATTTGTTGTTTTTTGTGAAGCGCCTCATGATTTTTATCTTGAGAGGCGCTATAGAAAAGATATTTTCTTCTTCCTCCATTAGCTTCTGATAGAACATAGGTGAAGAAACTCCAGGATTAGAAAGGCCTGACAGATCTACGTCACACTGTCACTTAACATGCATCTTGACTCATGATGGGGAAGGCTGTTGTTGGTTTTAGCGTCCAGGAAACGGCAGAACATCTCAACTAGCTTACTGTTAGCATTAGCACCTCCAGCACACAGCAGAACTCCATCAGGCTTGTGTTATTTGTGGAGATAAAACCTCAACGTTGCAGAGAACTGATTCAGTTGTAAAGCTGTGTTGCTGTTAGCCAACCAGAGGACAGATGTCTGAATATCATTAAAAAGACTTCAAATTCTTCCATTTTCTGTCTGCCTTTCATTTGGCTAGCTTCTGCTCCCTGAAACAGGAGCACCAGAGATTATGTTCCCCCATAGGACTCACAATGTCTCATTTATCCTTGACCACTGCAAATGTATTGTAAAGAGTGAATGAGAGCTTGAAATGAGGAACTTTGTTAGTCACAGCTGCCTCTGGCTAAAGAGGGGCCCTAAGGACTGTTTCAGGTTTTGGGTGGTGGAAAACCTACAGGGATGAACTGCAAATGTTTAAAATGTTGTTGGCTACAAAAAGGCATGGATGTTAGGAATAACTGTCAGAATACATTTTATACTTGTTAATCTTTCCATTTCAAGCTTATGTGTATAAAAACACCATGGAAGTATCTTAGGTAATTGGCCATATTCAGACATTTAGAGTAAAGAACAAGCTTTAGGTTTTATTAAGAGGCAGTATGTTCCCCATTTCCAGCTCAGAACATGAAAATGTTTAAAATGTCAGTTTGACACACAAAAGATTTTCTTTCAACAAGATTCCAAGAGAGCTGAATTTTTCTTTGCAGGAGACATGGTGGAGGGCGCGGTGAAAAAGACTCTGGGTATTGAGGAAAAGGAGAAGAAAGGAGGAGTCAAGTCTTGGTTTGGGGGTGACAAAGAAAAGGAGAAGGGAAAAGGAGGAATCTTTTCCTCTGGGCATGACGAAAAGAAAAAGGGTGGAGATGAACAAAAAGGAGGAGGATTCTTCTCAAAGGTCTTTCACAGAGATGACGAAGATGAAAAGGACAACAAGCAGAAGAAATCTGGATTTCAAGGCCTGTTTGCTGAAGGCACAGAAGGAGGTGCTACGGGAGGAGGAGATGCTATGGGAGAAGACGCTATGGGAGGAAGTGATGTGGATGGTGGAAGTGAAGGACAAACTTTAGCTGTGACTGACAGAGGTATGTTCCCAGTTTGATTAAAGTGTTTGAACCCTAAATGATTGTTGTACAGAATATTGATACTCAGTCCCAAAAAGGTCAAATGTGTTAAAGGGTTCTTCTGCTGTGATTTTAGTTGTACTTGTTTTGCTGCTGTTAAAAGATGTTCTGATATCAGGATACAAAGTGAAGAGTCACAGGTCTTGTCTCATAAAAAGTCTAAACCCGTCAGTGTTGTGTCCGAACGCGTTCATTGAATGATCGTTAGTGAATTTGTTAGTTTTTTTTCGTGAATGTGAACTGAACTTGTTCGTATTTTGCCTGACGAACGTGAAAGTGAGTGAGTTCGTCGTGGCGTGCGTGAACGGGTTTATGAACGCGTTCTTTCGCCGTTCTAGCTCCAGATCTCCACAGAGCTTTTCTGGTGTCGGTACAGGATCGGCTCGGGGTCCTTCAACTGCCGATGACGTCAAAGTAGTTGATTGGCTGAACATGAAGCTTATGGAAGTGACGTTATCACGTTATGATTTTGATTGGTCAGAACAAATTTGCGGTAGTAGTCTTAGCGGTTGTAGTCCTGTAATCCAAAAATCAACAGTTTTTGGAGAAAATGTGTTTGGATTTCTAAAGGAAATGTAAAATATAAGCAAATGATAAACGGTGACCCTCAAAAGCTCTTGATGTTGATGAAATGGGGCAAAATAAAATATAAGAACTTTATTGAAAGACACCAAGGAGTATTTTGAATCAAAGAATGTATTTAGATAACAACTAAGGAAATATACAGACGGACACTACATTAATACAAACAGATGTGGCTTCACATATAGGAACTGCTCTATTTTTTGTCAGTCCGATGTTGGTTTTATGCAGTTTCACATTCTTTACAAAACAAAGATAATATTGTGTTTTATTAACAATTTACATTTATAAAGAAAACATTTAGGTGGTAACAAACAAGAATCTATTAACAAAACTGCTGATGTCTTTCCAAAAAGTACGTGTGAAAGCCGAGTAGATTCGCAGTAATGTGATGTCATCGGCAGTCGAAGGACCCCGAGCCGATCCTGCACCGGAGCAGGTCCTGTACCGACACCTGAGCTAAAGCTTGGCTAAAACATCCTGTTAGCCATTGAGTTTATAAAAAGTAGAACCCGCAAATGCGGCCAAACATAGGCAGTAGTGGTTGGTGTGGCGTCTACTATTCTACGTCTATGCTGTGTGGATAGAAAAATTGAAAAGGGACTGAAAGATTATAAATTTTTTTATGTTTTGCACTTTTAGTATTGCACTTTGAGTTTGCTACCTCGGCCTGCTTCCTAAGATAATAATCTCCCATTAAACTGTTTTCCTCACGTTATTGAGAATATACTGTAGGGTAAAAACTGCAGCTGGGTAGTGGGCTGAACGGATGCCAACTATTGAAAGTGTGTGTGTGTGTGTGTGTGTGTGTGTGTGTGTGTGTGTGTGTGTGTGTGTGTGTGTGTGTGTGTGTGTGTGTGTGTGTGTGTGTGTGTGTGTGTGTGTGTGTGTGTGTGTGTGTGTGTGTGTGTGTGTGTGTGTGTGTGTGTGTGTGTGTGTGTGTGTGTGTGTGTGTGTGTGTGTGTGTGTGTGTGTGTGTGTGTGTGTGCGTGTGTGCGTGTGTGCGTGTGCGCGTGTGTGTGTGTGTGTGTGTGTGTGTGTGTGTGCGTGTGTGCGTGTGTGCGTGTGTGCGTGTGTGTGTGTGTGTGTGTGTGTGTGTGTGTGTGTGTGAGAGACAGTGAACTCAGTTCAATTTTTTTTAATTAGGAACTAAGAAACTAACTAGTTCATTTAAAAAACGAACCAGTTCATACATTTTAAATGAACTTTCCCAACACTGAAACCTGTAATCCCGAGTGGATCTTATTTGCAAAGTGAACCTGCCTCAAGTTTAAAAATTAAATTCTGTTTGTTAATGATGAAGTTTTTAATGTTGAAAGATCAGAAGTCCTGAAGGAGAAGAAGACCTTTTATATTTTTAAGATGCTTGACAAAGCGGTATCTCTCTGTGAACAACTTTGTTTTTTTTTCCATGATTTTGCTTCTTGTGTTTGAAGTTTCCATTAAGAGAAGCTTCTTTTTTTCTCCATGTAACAGACCCTGCCTGTTACGGCCACTAGATGGCCTCAGCGACGCTGCCTGCAAAGCCTGCTCAAGCCGAGCCCAGGTGCAGGTGGTTGCAATCATTGAACTCCCTCTTAAAAGGGAGTTCCTGGGGGGTTGCACTCCTGAGTGGTTTTAGATCCGACTAGTTGAAGTCTTTGTGTTGTTAATTGATTTGCCCTCATTCAGAGAGACACAGCTCACACTTTTGTTGGAGCTTTTTGTGTTTATTATATAGTTTATCCCTGCCTTACGTGCCAGCGCTTATTTATTCGATACCCTTTGTTTATTCCCATTTGGATGGCTGTTTTTTCTTATTTATTCTATTTATTCATTTCAGCTAACAGAGCTGTGTTTCTTTTAATAAACTCCCTTTTTAAGAGATCAAACTTGGTTATTTTCTTTCACAGTTAACTGTTTTTACTCCCTCACTTACTTCTAGTCGAGCTGAGGGACGTAAAACTCCACATCTGAAAGGGAAAGGCCATTTTTGAAGCTGGTGATTCAGGCCCTGTCCACACGTAGCGGAGTGTCTCCTAAAATGACGACATTTTTCAACGTTTCGGCCTGTCATTCACACGAATGCAGATTTACGCAACAAAAACAACATTTTTTAAAAACTCCAGCCAAAGTGCAGATTTGCAGGGGTTTTTTCCCCCTCCATTTTAAGCATTTCAGTGTGGACAGGAATAACCAGAGTTTTAGGTTTTACAACACCACTGTCTGCAACGAAAATGCTGACGGCCCATGTGCAACCTGTGTTTACTACAACATGGATGCCGCTTGTGTTGTCAAACCTACATTTAAGAGTAATTCTACCTTATCGGTGCACACAAACGAGCTAGGTGCCATGTTTTATAATTTGGGAAAACTACAGGTCTGGCATGTTTATGAAAGTGCTTAACAATGTACTTAGGTGTGGATGGAGGTTTTTTATTTTTTCAACCCGGCTAAATGTGGACAAAGCCTGGTGTTTTTATTCAGTTTTTAATATTTGATGATTTTCATGAGTTTCTCCATTTTTCTAAACTGAATTGCTTTTCATTTTTGTTTTCAGATCTTTTTGATGATTTGATTGATGTGGCAAGCGAAACATCTAAGGAAAACTAAAACGAAGAAATCCTGACCCTTCTGAAAATTCTTCATATTGTAATAAGGAGCTGGAGCACATCAGCTTTTTCTTTTCACAAATTCCAAATTGAATGTTTATTCAGCATTTAAAGAAGAAAAACATTCTAAATTCAGGTTTTGTTAATGGGTTTTTATAAATGATTTGTCATTCATGTGAAACATTTAACTATTAAAGCAGTTTAAACAGTTTTTTTTTTCTTTCTTTAACCATCGCCAGTGATTTAGCCCTTAAGGGTGCCAGTGGAAATTGGACTATTAATGGTAACACTTTACAATAATGGTCTGAAAATCTGCTTATGGATTTGATAATGAATAACTAATAATCAATTAAATCCTGATTTGTTTATCAACTTGATTATCTATGCTTCACAACCCCATTGTTGATTTATTATCTAATGATTTTTTTAATGATTCCTTAATGCTTACTTAATGGTTGGTAATATTAATTGTATACCAATCGCTCACTAATGATTCAATATGATTACACGAGCTTTACACCCAGCCCCAAACCTCTTTAATTAGTTGACGTTTCCTGGACGATTGCTTAATGTTTGGTCAGTCATTATTACTGAATCAGGAACTAATGACTTGCCAATTATTGGCCTGCTGATGATTCGTTTATTTAAGTTTTATTGTTAAATGACTTTTAAAATGTTTAAATTTGACCATCCTGTTCTGAGAAAAAGTAAGTCTTTAATATTTTTTCTCCCAAGTCCTTCCCCTGGCCTCTACATCTAAGGCCTAGTGCACACGTAGCCGGGTTTTTAAAAACTAATATCCGCCCCTCCAAAAACTTGCATCCACACCACCTCGTTTTAAAAAATACTGTCCACACGTACCTGGATAAATATGTTGTTAAGGACATGCCAGACCTGTAGGCGGCAGTACTTCCCCCGTTCTTAACCTCGTCCTTCGTCTGTGGTCTTCCGCAAGGAGCAGTAATTCCGCTTGCAAAAACAAACAAACAAAAAGCGCTTGGACGACTGATAAAGCGAGCGCAGCTCTGAGGGCATCCATGCTGTCGGCTAGTGTAAACACAGGTCGCACACGTGATGTCAGCATTTTGTTGTCGCGGAAAGTGACGTTGCGGACCTTAAAACTCCGGTTTTGTCTGTCCACACACAGACACCCAAAACGGGAGAAAACGCAGATCTTCACTTTGGCCGGAGTTTTTAAAAAGATCCGTTTTCGTGTGAAAAAACTCCGTTTTCGTGTGGATGACAGGCCAAAACGTAGAAAAATATCTACGTTTTGGCAGATCCCCGGCTACGTGTGGACAGGGCCTAAACGAATCATTTCTGTGAGCCTACCACGTTGACCAGTAGCACTGCTTTTCCACTAGTGGGAGCTCTCAGTCAACAAGAGCAAGCCCCAGTCACCAGCATGCACCATGGTACCACGCGCTTCAGTCGGTTCAACATCACAATGGAGAAACAATGTGATCACAAATACTGAAGTAACAGATTCCTCAAGTGATTAACAGTAGTTTTTTTGGGGGGTGGGGGTATTCGACATGAGACGTTCCCGACAGTGGCGTTGGACTTATATTGGAAATACTTTTGAAAGATTAAGGAAGCTTTATGGTCTACGAGGCCTCAAAACTGAAGAGTTGGCCAAGCATGGCATGGTGCATTATCCTGCTGGAAGTAGCCATCAGAGGATGGGTACATGGTGGTCATGAAGGGATGGACATGGTCAGAAACAGTGCCCAGGTAGCCCGTGGCATATAAACCATGCCCAGTTGGCACTAGGGGGCCTAAGGTGTGCAAACAAAATATCCCCCACACCATTACACCACCACCAGCCTGCACAGTGAGAACAAGGCATGATGGATTGTCAGGGACCGAGCAGTAAAACTCCAGGACAATGATATAAAAAGAATATCTTCTCAATTTATTTCCATAAAAAATTAACCAAAATCAAAACAAAAACGGGACCAAAGGAAAAAATGGCCATGGAAATACCTTAACTAAAAGTAAAAAGCAAGACTGGCCCAAAGCTTCTTCTTCTTCAAGTTTAATGGCGGGTGGCATCTAACTGCTAGGTGCATTTCCGCCACCTACTGTGCTGGAGTGTGAGTCGGAGTAAGAGCGAGAAAAAAAATAAAAATAAAAAATAAATAACTAAATTCTATGCAACAGACCACAGTGCTTTAGATACCCAACAACCAACTTATAATTCCTTCTTCACCATTTAACAAATTCCTTACAGTCATCACTCCACCCCCTATGTCTTAATTTCTCCCTGAGTTGCCCTCTACTTCCCTCATATTTTATGCAGCCACACAAAACATGTTCCACTGTTTCTCCCCCCACCCCACAACCACAAAAACCTGTGGGATGTTTCCCCATCAGATGCATTGTATTATTAAGCCCAGTATGTCCCAATCTTAATCTTGATATTATCCTTTGATCTCTACTATTCATTCTTATGTTTTTCGATTTTCCTACTGGCCCAAAGCTGAGACACACAGGGGAATTTATACACAAAGGCTAGCCTACAGACAACGAGGAGGGGAGAGACAGGGGAAACACTAAGACAAACAGTAAATAAACCTAGGAAACTAAGTCAACAAAGTATAACTACCACAAAAAGTTTAACTAATACCTCCTAACAAAATCTGGTAAACTCAATTAGAGCTTCAGAACATCTGGTTTCTGGTTTCTTCATTATCAAGTCCCCTGCTTCCAGGAGTCAGATGGAATGTTCCACTTCCTGCCTGGAGTTACACTGGGAGTGTCCTCTCTCTCTGCCAGTTCATCCAATCTCAGCAGAATACAAATGAAAGTAGTTAATGATCAAATAAACTATGTATAAGATAAATTACTAAATGTGTGCACCCATTAGTAAACATCTTACAATATTGCAACAAAATGAAATAATAAACCAGCGTTTGGAAAAAGATATTTAAATAATACTAACACTGAGAAATGGGTGGAGGAACCTCCACACACTCCCCCTCCTCTGGAAACTCCATGGTCCAGCGGGACAGGTAGTCAGCAGTGGAGTTTTGCTTCCCAGGTATATGATGAATCTCAAACTGGAAGGGTTGCATCGCCAGGTACCAGCGAGTTATTCTGCTGTTCAAGTCCTTCATCCTCTCAAGCCACTTTAGAGCCTTGTGGTCCATTTCTAGGATGAATCTTCTTCCCCAACAGGTAGTATTTGAATGAATCCAAGGCCCACTTAACAGCCAGGCACTCCTTTTCTACTGTTGAGTAGCAGATTTCTCTTGGGAAAAGCTTCCTGCTTATGAAAGCAATCGGATGCCGTCTGTCTGGAGGCCCTTGAAGCAACACAGCCCCTAGGCCACGATCAGATGCGTCCGTCTGCAAAACAAATAGTTGTTCGAAGTCTGTACAATGGAACACTGGAGGTCCACTTAAGGCATGTTGGATGTCCTCAAATGCAGTCTTTGCTTCGTCTGACCACTCGAGCTGGTTAGGTCCTTTGAGGCTGGTCGGATCTGTGAGCAGAGCAGCTCTGGCAGAGAAGTTAGGGATGAATTTATGGTACCAACCTGATATGCCCAGAAATGATCTCAGTTGCTTTCTGGTTTGTGGAAAAGGGCATGACTGAATGGCTTGAACCTTTTCAATCTGAGGCTTAATGACTCCATTGCCAATAATGTGTCTCAGGTATTGTACTTCCTTCTTTGCCGGCATGCATTTAGCTGCATGCACAGTCAGACCTGCAGTGTGAAGACACTCAAACAAAACTGTGAGATGTTCAAGATGTTCCTCCCAGCTGTTACTGTAGATGGCAATATCATCCAAGGAGGCAGATGCAAAGTGAGATTTTCCTTCCTACACCTTGTCCATAAGTCTCTGGAACGTTGCAGGTGCTCCATGCAGCCCAAACGGCATGATTGTAAACTGGTAAAGGGCCCAGGGTGTTCTGAAGGCAGTCAGCTCACGGGATCTAGTGGCAAGAGGAACCTGCCAATAACCCTTGGAGAGATCAATGGTGGTAAGATATTTTGCTCTGCCAAGACAACCAATTAGGTCATCCAGAGGTGGAAAGAGTACTAAAATTTCCTACTTAAGTAGGAGTGCCTATACTTTGATAATTTTTTTACTCAAGTACAAGTAAAAGTACTTGCCTAAAATTTTTACTCAAGTAAAAGCATAAAGTATCGTAAATAAAATGTACTCAAAGTAAAAGTTACTTAGTTTCATTTCTTTTTCTGCAAAAACTGGCAACATCTCTGTACAATCCAGGCCAGTAGAAATACTGTTGGATGTGGGCTAAGGTTTTATTTTTCCCAAGATGGCCAGCCCAAGGAATTGAATGGCCCAAAGATAAAACAGTTTCTCTGGCTGCTCTAGGCACCACAAGCTGTTTCAGTTCTCCATGTTGTCTATAAAGGATGCCATTTTGCAAACAGAATTCCTTTGCGGTCCTACCTTCTTCAGCTCCCTTAATAAGGTCAGCCAAGCCTGCATCCTGATGCTGCAGCTCAAGAATGTTGTCAGGAATTTCAAATCTTAGCTGTACCTCAGGTTCAGGTAACACAGTGGACACTGTTGTGTGTTTAAATTTGTCCCATTTGCGCTGCCTACAAGACTTTTGTTCTTTAGTTGGGCCTGCTTCAATCTCAGCCTCAAAAAAATGGTAACGCTCTTAAACTGGGATCATCTTCCCTTGGAGTCTTCAACTGAGACCGTGTTATTGCCACATTGCACATTTTAGGATCATTAATCAAGTCAGTGAGAACTGGTAAATCATTCCCCAAGATAACAGGAAATGGTAATCTGTCCATGACACCCACATTTAATAGGTACATATGTCCTTGCACTTTCATATAGACATCCGCTGTTGGATACCGTTTTTCATCACCATGCACACAGCAGATTGGTATTGTTTCAGAGGTGCAGATGTGAGCTGGTGAGACGTACCTGCGGTGAACTAGTGACTGGGTGCTTCCTGTGTCAATCAGAGCCTTAGCTTTCTGTCCATCTATCTCCACTGTGGTCTCCACCAACAGCTGGTTTGTTGGGTTTGGGGCATGGTTCCCTCTGGGCACAAAACACATCTGAGAGAGTTTAGCTGGATTTTGTGGACACACTGGTTTGGTGTGGCCTTCTTTCCCGCACAAATGACAGGTTTCCGCCCCAGATTTTTTGTTTGGCTGGGAGAAATACTTCTCCCTTCCACATGGCTTACCATCATTTCCTGTCGGACTGGTG